TTCCAGTCCATGTCTGGTAAACTCTCAGATAATGGCAGCATGGTAGGGTCACTGAGGTTCTATTAGCTCAATTAATGAGGAGTAAGATAAGGCTAACACCTAGCTCTTCAAACGGCTAAAAAATAGAGCTGATAGTAATGGAGTTATTAACCTTCGCCAGCCATTGAATTTTGCTGCTGATTCAAACTCCATTTCCTAGTTCAGGCCTCCATTAATAGGCTGTTTATTATCCCTAATCCGCATTGGGATCAGCTGCAGAAATATGAAAGCCCCATGTAAAGACCAAATAGTTAAAAAAAAAAAAAAAATATATATTTTTCCATTCTGATTTTTTCCCTTTTTAACATATTCAAAGATTCTACCTTAGAAATTAGGAACTTCATTATCCTAAACTGTTTGAATCCAGGTTCTTAGCAGTGTGATAAAAAAGAAGCTTTAAATATATTATATAAAAAGACCACAGCCACATCATTTGGAAGACCAAATAAAACACTTCTTGAAAACTTGCACTGGAGAAGCTAGTGCTGTTTGTTTTCTGTACTGGGAAAGAAAAAGCTTTAATATTGGAAAAATGGGTATTTGAAATATTATATATGTATTGTTAGGTCAATCCTCAAGTTCATCCCTCCCCTGCCCAGCTTTGTCTGTCCACTTGTTGTATTGTTCGTAGATACTACTGTAACACAATTAATCAATACTGAAATGTAATACAATCGACCCTGGATTCAGATCAGATGGAAAAAAACAAAGGAAATGATGGAACAGAGGAACTGGGAATCCCAGGACGCACTTAGCAGCGGACCCCACTGGCACAGATGGAAGAGCTTGCTTTACTGGCTTGAGGAGAACTCTAACACAAACCTGGCTACAATTTTAACTACAGAGATCTCGAGTTAAAGGTTCTTTAGGCTCCTTGCTGAGCTTGTACACACTTAATTGAGATCTATGTAACTTTGTGATTTTTCAGTATATTTTCAAAGACACACCGTACAGTTACCATCATTTACACACACAAGATGTTCTTCCAAAATCAATCACAATACCATCCAACAGAATATCAACAGTTATGAGTAATGGAGTTAAGATCAAAATGAAAAAATGTTTATGGTAATATATATATATATATATATATGCAGTACACAGCGCTACCCTCAAAACTGAATGCAATTCTGGTTGTCCCACCTTAGAAAGGAAACTAGAATAAGTAGAGAAGGTAGAGAACAGGGGGACAGGACGATCAGAAGAGTGAAATGACTTTCGGGAAAGGAAAGGATAACCAGACCAAGGTTCTTTGCCTGGGAAAGATGACTGAACAGGCATATACAAGAGGCTTAGAAAATCAGGAGTGTTAGGAGAGCATGAACAGGGAACGCTTATAACTGTGTTTCAATTGAAAGGAACCCAGAAGAAATACTGTGAAATATTTTCACATGACACCCAGTGAAAAAGTAAAACTCCTTTCCATACGATTTAGTGGAGGCCAAAAGTACAGTGTGTTGAAAAAGAGACTATAAAATCAAGGCAAATGGGCTATTAGACAGTTGTCCAGATGACCCCCTGGCTCAGGGAATCCTTAAACTGCTGATTGCCTTAAGCTGGCCTGGAACCAGCAGACAGCTGGTCATGAACCAGCTGAAGCTAATGACAAGAGATATATAACAGATGACAGTGTTGCTGCTGAATCTTATTTTAACTGTAAGTTTGGGAGAGAGCAGAAGGGGATAAGAAAGATTTTGCTAGATATTAAATAGAGTTTTCTGTATATTAGAACTATCCATGGCTATATGTTTCCTATTGTTGCTCAAGCATTAACAATATAAAAAAAAAAGCTAAAATACCTATTTACACTCATTTGGGTGAGGAACTGAACTCAGTCCTTTGCGTTTGTAGTTCTGAGCTTCAGATGCCAACCTGCGATTGTATTTGGATTCCCACTTCCCGTAGGCACTAAATGGTTAATGGTGTTCTTTTACTAGGTAGCTGAGAGACCACTAATAGATTCAGCTTCTTATTTGCCCTAAAGGCTGCCACAGTTCAATACGATTAGGATCCTGTCCACTTAAGCAGTAACTGCTTCATAGGGAGGAACACAGAAAGCAATACATGTCTTCTCTGAGTACAGAAAGAGCAGTTCTTTGGTAGACAGGTTTTGTCTGATACTGGCAGGTTTTGCTCTACCAGTCTGTAAGCAAGGCTTTGCTCTACTGCAAATTCTAATTTAAAGAAAACCCCGTACCTTACTTTTTCAGTGGAAAATGAATTATTTTCCTTTTTGTTCCAGGGCAGTTCTTTGGATGCAGTGGCTGATGCTGTATGAGATTTTTTTATTATTACATTTTAACAAACTTTATAGCCCATTTTGTTTGTTTTCAAATAACTTTATTTTCCTTCTTTTCTACCATCAATTACTAGGGTTTGTTTTTCTTTCCATAAGATGGAGGAGTCAGGAGACTGATCCTGCTCAATGCTGTATAATTTAGTATTATGTGTACTAGCTTTATGAGGTGGGAGTCAGATAAAACATAGTATTTGAACACTAACCATTTATTAGCTCTAAGGAATAGATTTATGACTTGACAAGCAGACAATAACTCTGTGTTCTGATCAGCCAAAGAGGTCTACTTTGAGTTCAAAACACAGAGTAACATACTCTTTCACAAATAATTTTGTTTACTGATGTGACTAGATTTTAATAATAAACTTGATATATATGTAAATTTATTTTAATCTAATTTCATCAACAGAGCCCTCCTAAAAATGAGACTTTGTAGATTGTTCTGTGTCTGATTTATAGATTTCTGCATCCTATTCCCAGATTGATTTCAAGGCTATAATTCTATCAGTTTTTTCTCCTGATGTCAGAAACACCACCTCTGCAGATAGTGTTTTATAACTAGCATCACAACTGAAACTGAATTACTGCCCTGCTATCCTATGCTGCAATATGTCCTTTTGTTTATAATCACCCTCTCTCCCTTATATGCCTACTACTTCAGTTTCATGGAAAATATCAACTCCAAAATCAATCAGGTAGCATGATGTCTATTTTTGTCCCTTACTTCAACCCCTGTATGAAATAGTAGGGGCCAAATTCTTAACTCAGATATGAATGTGCAGAGCTCTTTAAAGAAAATGGAAGCTGAGCAAATGGATCAGTGCCAAATTTCCACAGATACAGTTTTATAACGAGTTGTTCTTCCTCATTTGATGAGGTCTCGATCCTGTAAAGGAACACATGGCACAGACTTGAGTATTCACACTGATCTCAGACACTCAGATACACGTTTAGGGGCTCAGGACCTACATTCTAAATGCAGATGAAGAATAATCCATGGGAAATGTTATTTAACTGGATCTAGCATAAGTTTCAAGATTCTTTCTCTCTTTTTTCATGAAATAGATTCCTGTTTAAGATGTATTTTGTCTTACTTTTAATAAAGCTGCTGCTGCTTTCACGTACTTTCATTTTGAAGCCTTGATGGCCTGACTGCTAGTTCCCTCCCTTTTCACAATCCTCTTTTCTTTCTTGTACTGGTTTTGGCTGGGGTAGAGTTAATTTTCTTCATAGTGGCTAGTATGGGTTATGTTTTGGATTTGTGCTGGAAGCAGCGTTGATAATCCAGGGGTGTGTTCGTTCCTGGTGAGCAGAGCTTACAGAGAGCCAAGGCCTTTTCTGCCACTCCCCCCCCCACCACCCGTGAGTGGCTGGGGGGCACAAGGAGCTGGGAGGGGACATGGCTGGGACAGCTGACCCAAATTGACCCCAGGGATATCCCACACCATATGATGTCATGCTCAGCATACAGAGCTGGGGGAAGAATAAGGGGGGAACATTGGGAGTGATGGTGTTTGTCTTCCCAAGTAACAAGAGTTCTGCTTTTGTCTTCCCAAGAGCCCTGCTTTCCTGGGGATGGCTGAGCACCTGCCTGCCAACGGGAAGGAGGGAATGAATTCCTTCATTTGCTTTGCTTTGCTTGTGCCCTGGCTTTTGCTTTACCTATTCAACTGTCTTTGTCTCAACCCACAAGTTTTCTCACTTTTACTCTTCTGATTCTCTCCCCCGTATCACCAGGGTGGGAGTGAGCAAGCAAGGTCCAATGGCAAAATTAACTCCACCCCAGCCAAACCGAGAGCATCTCTCCAACTCAGTCTTACCCTTTTACATCTTTCCTCTATGCCCTGTACAGGGAGTGACGAGGGGATTGAGGACAGCCATGCAGAAGACACAGGAAGAGTAACTTTGCAAACTGAAACACATCCAGTACTAGTTTTTAGGTAAGAATAAGCTTCCTGCAAGCATAAAGACTACAAATTTCCAACATCTGCCTTTGGAGTGGCCACGGTGTCAGCCAGGGGTATGGACTGAACCAGGAACCCCTGGAGGGGAATGGAGAAGCCTCTCAGCTTTGACAAGTACACCAGCATTTCAAATCCTCATCGCCCTTGGACCAGCTGTAAAGAGTAACTCCATTTTATTTGCCTGGCAGTCGTAATATTCTCTTTTGATGCTAATTTCTCTTATATTACATTTCTGAACACTTCATTATAGCTCAAATAAAATATAATTCTCATGTTGTTTTTAATTATTTCACAAAACCCAAAAGTCTCATAATGAGCTCCTCACAATACTAATATATTTCCATGATATTATGCCAATGCTAAAGAAAGAAGAGGTAGATCCCCCCTCCTGTTGCAAATAAAATACACCCTCTGATATAATCCAAACTTTAATCCATTTCTTATGGTTTGCCTTTAGAGGCAACTCAAACAAATAACCAGAAGAACAAACCCCTTCTCTCTCCCACAGTTTGGCCATCTGGAGGATTTGTAAGGCCAATGCTCTATTTCCCATTCTTCAGGAGCAAGACCCCTTTTTCTAGCTAAGGAAGGAATAAATAAATAAGATGCAACAGCCTATACAATGTCAATAAAGACCTGTATCTTTCCATAAAAAAAAATTTCATATATGTAATGTCATGATTGCTAAATTTATACCTTACCTGTTTGGAATAAATTGTGATTTTTGCAGCTGTTCTCCCTGCTCTATGTCTCTTGGGAAGCCACGAAGCACCCATCCATTGGTCGTGCAGTCTAGTGCGTTTAGGCGTTCTGCCAGGATCTTCATAACAAGGTTGTCTGGGACTGCAAAGGATTAAAAAGATGACATTTGTTTTGTATGCTGAGTCTGCAGTTAAGGAGGATACAAACTACTTTTTCTGGTTAGGCTGCTATAGGAACTAAACCACAAAGAGTTATTCCTGTTTATGATTGATAGATTCTTGGAGACAGGAGTTACTGTTGATTGCATATTTACTGTGCTATCACGGAATACCCAAACTCATAGGACAGGAACTGTAGGACTAAAGTAAAGTATTTGGTAAAAACTGATGCCTACATAATTTTGCCATGTACTTTTTCTCTCAGCCATAGTGGGCTGATGTCACAGTGAAGCGTGCGACGTAATCTTATCAAAATACAAAAATAATCACCTGAGTTGTGTAAAAGAAATCCTAAAACAGGAAAGAAATTTCTGTAGCATTCTGTATTTAATGTAGGAGATGATAATGGTTCTGCCACAGCAGGCTAGATGCAATATTTCTTCTATTTGCCCAAAGGCTTGAAGCTTTTATAACTGAAAATAAATTTCCAAGCTGTATTTCAACTACTGTAATTATGGCATTGATGACTCCCTAATTTTAGAGAGAAAAGTTCTCTTTTCTCTGTTGTTATTTTGCTTTAGGGCAAGAGAAAAGATCAGCAAGATGCTGACTGGGATTACAATTACTATGCAGCTTTTAAAATCCTATTTAATAGGACACAGTGGTAAGGAGGTATCCTGCATATTTTCACTATAGCCTTCATAAAAATATTTCAATAGAGATACATAAGTTTAAGTATCTTGTAATTTTTTCCCCCTTTTCACAGAAGAATTAAATTATTAGGTTCAACAAGAGTGACTATACATTTTGCAAGGATTCTTGCAATATGTTGGATTTAGTGTCAAATAACCCCAAAGAAAGGTCAGCAAATTCACTTCAAGCTACTTCTCCAAAAAGCAGCCCAAACAATTTTCAAGAAGCAATGAGAGTCCCTTCTCTCTGTTTATACAGTATGTCTAATACACTGTTGCCTCTACTGGAAACAAGCAATAAAAAAATGCTACATAAATCCACATCATGGAATGCTGATGTTTTGATACTCACCCTGCCATTGCATCTGCATACAAAAATACAACAAGTGCTTGCAGGAGAACATATGCGTCAGATTTCTAACAATGCAATTTGCTTTAGGATGAGCTGACAAGAATGCGCCTGTATTTTAGTAGAGTATATTATTATCAGTGCACATTATACTCTCAGTACAAGCAGGTTTTAAACTGCAATAATAGAATCCATTTGCTTCCTGAAATTTGACATTTCCTAAGGACTTACACCTCCATCATGAAATTCATTACTTCTCCTTTAAATAATCAAATTACTGAGTTTACAGAATTGCACTCAGGATTCAATGTACCAGCAAAAAGCAAGGAAAACCACAGGGAATTAATTAGAAAACAGATTAGTGCATTAACTGAGGATACCCACTTCACATTATTAAAAAAAAAAAAAAAAAAACAAGTTAAGGAGAGTAATATCTGCTAGAAGAAAAAAGGAATGGAATAAAACCAGACATTTGACAGACAGCAAAATGACAATGCAAAACTAGGCATTCTGTTAAAAATGGGATTCATAAGATTAACTATACAATAGTGCAGCAGCAGGCAGAAATGTTATTAGGCAGATGATACTTCTCTATGTAAGACCTGAGCTGCAGGCAGGTATAGAGGAGAATTTCAGTGCTCTCTGCACAGGGCAGTTCTCCCTACCCTCCAGGTTACACGAACTAATACAAACCTCAGACATCCTGGTAGGAAGAAGAAAAAAAATCCCATCCCACCTTCTCTTTCCCCAAAACATATTCTGTACAAAGACCAGTGGAATTTTCCTGATAGTGTTGCATTTCTGGCTGCAGCACTAAACTTTCTGTCTTGATGCATGTTATTGTATCATGAGTCCTACTGGGATCATTAACATGGATTTACAAAGATGCCAAATTACATGGGGTTTTTTTTAACATTTTCAGAATACTTAGACAGTTTAGCAAGGGATTTGAATGAAACCTATCAACCCAAGACTAAAACTGCCCTAAGGTAGGATTCTGCTGGAGCTGACATCCCTGTGACATGAACAGGGAATCGGGGCAGAGGCTGAAAGCTCCAGGAGCAGCGCAGAGAAATAAGTGGGTGTACTGTGCTGCTGAGCTTCCAGCTGATCGTAAGAGATTCTCCAGTTGCGGGGTCCAAATCGCTTCTATCCTGCATATGGGAAGGAGAAACGCTACAGCCTAAAAGAAAATGAAAAAGCAATTGCAATGGGAACCAGGCAGCATCTCCTCGACCTGATCACTTCCTGTAGGCCTTCTGTGAATCCTGATGATCGAAATCCTCTGCACTTTGGTCACTATTTTTGAACAAAACTGAAGCAATCACAAGAGGAAAAAAAAAAAAATCTAACAAGATGCAGTGACAAGAAATTAACAATTAATCTAGTGGCATGCCAGGTTTGGGGGTTTTTGAGCAATACTAGGGATATGTGGTAGCCCTGACACCTTGCTAAGTTCAACAACGACTGACTAGAAGATATCAGCAATACACTTCAGATTGTTTGACAAATCATGTACATATATACATCACTGAATAATATAGATGCTTACATATTTTCTGTGCCTCCCTCTAAAGCTTGATGGTGAGAAATAAAACATAAACAAGTCAGACAGCAAGCTCTGCTCTCCTCTTGATTAGCAAACATACCTATCACTTCAACACAATAGGGGAACATAGCTTGTTGGCTGTTCAATGGCATTACAAAGAACATCAGCTGCCCTTGAACAGGAACAGTCACACTTAAAACAGCTGCATTAAAACTGTAAAACATCTTCCACAGACCAGAGGGGGAAAAAAAAAAAGAGAAAAAAAAAGGAAGAAAGAAATCAGTATTATTCTTATTTTGCTGTGGTACAGACAGAGTAGGTAATGAAGAACTCTGCAGTGTGGTATTCCTTTTCACTCATGTGGAACTGTCTCTCGGATGTAAGGCAAATTAATAACCTGTAATTGGAGGGGCACACAGTCTGTAAGTAACTAGCCAGAGGTCTCCTGGCCTTAAGCACATGACCCAACGGGCTATATAGCAAAGTAAAATTTAGAGCTTTTCTGATGAGACAGTCAATCTACATGTTTTAAGAAGATTATGAAGCACAAGAGCTTTGAATAATCAATTCCTTTTCAACATAAGCTTGTGTGAGTTTCCAACTCTGAAAGTTGGAGGAATGAGGCTCTAGAGAGGTTTTACTTTATCATTAGAGAAGTCCAAAGATAAGTTTCTTGTAAAAATTACAATATGCTACAAAGAGATATCCAGATTAGGTAACGTGGAAGCACATCTCTATTAAGGCAAGAAATCAAGGTACAGGAGTAAAATTCAGCCCGCAGAAGTAATGCTGCAGAGCTACAGTGATACCCTGTGCTGAGAGCACCATATGTGGCTGTGGACCAAGGTCACGGTGAACCTCAGAAATGGTTTACATGGCAGAACGAGGCCACAACCAGCTCCATATAGAAATGTAATTCATTCATGCATACATTCTTGCCTAACATCAATACCACACACTGTATCTCCTTTATCTCCCAGCTTGTCTCAACCATGTTAATGGTCTAGACTGTGCAGCTGAATTAGCAGCTGCAGACCAAAGAAGTGATCTAATCAATTCAAGGGCACGATCAGGCAGGGTACAGGGAACAGAGCCCTAAAGCGCTGCTGTTCGTGCTGGAACTGCTGTGTGGACACCCAGAGATTTTGTGTCTCCAGGGCTGTCAATCAGCACCTTCCAGCAGACCATTTAAAAAATAAATTTACTTCCCAGAGCTTCAAAGGTTTTCTGAAGTATAAAGTACTTCTCATGAAAAGTCCTTCCTCATGAAACTCATAGGAGCATGGCCCATTCGCTCTTACCCAACCTGTAGATCTGCAGAACTAACAGAAAACCGTATCAGGCAATCAGTTGACAAAATCATACCATCTGCTCAAGACAAAAGTAACAGAACATTAAAGGCACAGCCTGAAAGGCAAAAACACTACTTGAGAGATTACAGGGCACTCTTCTCCAATAGCTTCAATGCTGTCAGTGCTCCAAGCTATACAATTATCATATTTAAATTGATTCCTCCTCCATATATTTCCCTTTGAAACAGACTTTTGAAGGGTATTGACTCACTTCTCCAAACCTATAAAACCTCGATTCTAAGTACAGCGTAAATGCATTTGCAGATATAAATTCTGTCAGCTTTGTGCTGTAAAAAGTTTAAGGTGCTTTTGACAGTATTGTCCATTTACCCTTTATCCTTCTTTTGGAGATGATTTTTTTTTAGCTAGGTCTGAAGACTTTCACAGCTAATTCAGATGCCTAAGGCTTGATCCCAGTACTTGACAGTTAACATCTTGCCCTGAGTATAAGCTACTGCCAAAGGCTACTTTCCTGGATGGTCCTGTCAATCCTAAATTGAGCAAAGCATGGGATTTGCTTATCTTATTGCTCTGTAAACTCTGGATTATTCACAATGGGTCATTTTATGTGGGTCCTGAGAAGTATTCTGCTTCCTTGCGCCCATTAAGGTCTCCAGAGATTGTTTCAACTTGTTTTTAACGCGCTTGAGAATGATTTAACAGTGATTGACCATCATGGAGGTTGATGAATATTTTCATTTAATCCTGCCAACACACCAGCCCTGTGAAAACGAGCTCGTTTTCCATTTCAGAGCATACAGGCAATTCCGGTTTACTGCAAATAATAAAAAATAATCCAAGCGCGTCTTCCACGCGAGCGGGGGGAGGACAAGGCCCGGTGTCACTCCCGTGCAGCACAGGCGAAGGAAGGGGAGCGTTTGCTCCGGGCGGCGGCCGGGGTAGGGGCGGGGG